TATCAAAAGGAAATGCCCTCTTTGTGTAGTCCTGACAACTTTCTAAGGCCTCCCCAACCATGCAAATTCCCCCTAATGTACCTATCCACCAAGAGCATGACTCTATCTCCTTTTTAAGTTCTTTAATTTTCCTGTAATGTATGAGTTGGGTGGATCTTTTTGGTGAGAGGAAGTTTAGACCAGGAATAGGAAATAAGTGTCAGGGCCACAATGCCTTTCCAAAGCAAAAAAGAAAGAAAAAGAAAAGGTATTTAACTGAAATTGTAGATAGAGCAGAGCAGTGGAGTAACTAAAATCCTTTAGAAGCAGGTTGCCACAAATTTACGAATGTGCCAGTAGTTCTTACTCTGAGATTACTATATTTTATATTTGATGCGCATTAAAAATGAATTATGTTTCTTTTTCTTTTTTTTTACCGTCACTGTCGTTTACAGTAGAGTCTTTATATCAATGTCATTGTGTAGGTCACATGTGCAAACAGATTTAAGTAAAGATCCTAAAACTTACAGAAAATGTAATAGCATGACCACCCTGCCCAAATAAAATATTAACTCCACTGATTTACTTCTTAATTATGGGAAGCTACCATCTATGTCCTCGGTTGCTTAAATCAGAGATGCACAAAGTGAGGGTCTTGGAGCCCGAGAGGGCTTCCAAAACTATTAAGGGTTATCAGATGGTGATAAATTGGTTTAGTGGTTGGAGGCCCAAAAAGTTTGTGTTCCTCTGGCTTCAACTAGCATGTGTTGCCATTTCGGTGCTTCTGCAAATTATGTCTTATGGATGCAGTTACTTTCAACTCTCGAGTCATTATCTTATTCAGGCTTCTTTGGGCACTATGTGGATAACCACTGAAGAGACAAAACGCAAGGTTCGGAAGGCAACTATGAACAAGCTTCTGGCTAGGAAGATAGCTGATTTAGGAGGCTCAAGATTTCTATCATTGGTACATTAAATCAAATCTGAAATTAACGACACCGTGTACTTTCATTTAGCAAGCCACGTAATGCAGTAGGTAAATAGCATGCTGATATAACTAAAACCAATAGGCTAGACTCATTCAACTATTAGGCTAATACAACTAATAGACTAATACAGAGTGTCAATAAACCGATATGCTATTAGAATTGCCTAGTATAGTTTGGCTAAAGAGTAGTTAACGAAAAGTAATTCTTTCAAAACAAAATTAAACATTCAAACACGATTCACTGAAACACTCTTGATGATGGATATAAACCACTTCGTGCTTTTCCAAGTATATGGGCAAACTTATTTGTGTGTTTAAACATTTGTGATTATTATTCAATTATCCTTCAACATAAAGAAATATGAGCCACTTAAGGTAAAGATGGCCAACTTTCTGGAACATTCCGTTAATTTTTTTTAGAAATATAAAAATTTGTATTTATTTTCTTTCTATGGTACCCAGGCAATTGCAGTCCTCAAGAACATTGCTACCTCTTGTCAGCAAAGCATAAATTGATCATTTGGTGAATGTGATCCATAAAATTCAATCCAAAAACATCTAATGTCGTATAAAAACTATACGCCCTTAAAAGTTTTATTACCGCTTACTCATATTTTATGGCTGTCATCTAAAATATTTCCGGGGAACATTGCGATGTTTGTTGGTGTTCAGTTGAAATTCTAATTTTAGTTCATGCACCGAGGCGTTGATGTCCAAGAAAGTGGGGATGTATTGACAGCTGGTGAAAACCGATATCATCTTACCTAAATCCGAGGCCTAAACGATGCAACATAAACGTTTCCACGGAGAAACACGTTTTTATGCTGAAACGCTGCATTGTGATTTTTAAGTGTGACCATGTTGAGCGTCGTTCACAAACTTTATACCGAGCAGGACTGATAGAGATGACCGGTTCTCCGCCTCTTGCGACGGCGTAGGACCGGATGCGCTGCGTCTCTCCCAGTCCTACTTAATTGCAAGTGTGTTTTGCCTAAAGTGTGCGCTTTAGGTTTTCCTTCCCACCTAACAAATTTGTCTTACTTCGATATAATTTACAAATAAGTGTTCTCATCAAAAGTGGTAACTTTTGATGAAAACAGTTCTCTGCCATTCGGTACTACCGAACGGCAGAGACTCCATATCTCGATGATAAGAGATATGAGAGATATCTCTTTTCTCCGGAGAGATATCTCTCCGGAGATATCTCTTTCCCGCTCCGGAGAAAAGCTCACCGGAGATAAGTTCACCGGAAAAAATCTCACCTACTTCTGTGCAGGTCCGAAAGTTCGCCAGTCCTTAGACAGACCAGAAAAAAACCTCACCTGAAATCCTTTTTTTTGTTTTGTTGCAAGGTCGTCTTATCTATTCAATGTTTATTTCATGAAGTGAACAATTTGTTCCTACATCTTTGGCCCAGGTTCAACTTTTTAGGAGCAGGAGTGGAACTAAATCTACAGGCGTGTCTCATGCAGGCACTATACATTTCAACGCAAGGCGCTTTGATTGTTGCAGCCCTCGTTCCGCTTTTATGTCGACCGTTTTCGCGTGAGCCTTGCCATGTTTAATTGTGGCGTAGCCGGGATAGACGAAATATCAGTTTTATTTAATTGCCCATTGCAAGAGCTCAGAATATCGAAAGCGTGCCTTCTTAAATGTCGAAATGTAAAGTTTTAGAAATGTAGAATCGGCTGCTACATGAAAGGTAATGTATAGGGCTGGGCGTCGATTAAAAATTTTAACACGATTAATCTCAACCCTTAAATCAATTAATTAATTTATTAATCGGTTTCGCTCATTCCCGTGTACAATAGATGTAAAAAGTCAAGATTACATTTCTTGCCTTTGCTGAATATGTGATCAACGGCGCAGTGTACAATTTCGGTCTTTAAATCAACCTTGAAGTGAATGTTGAGAACAGTCGAAGGGCACTCACACTCAAAAATTATTACTTCAGACCCTGGAGCAGAGAGGTTCGTTAACTATTTGCTTCAGGCGCCTGTCCTGTCCACTTCTTCGTCTGTCCTAGTCCTACCGCTCTTTGTAATTTAGTATGTATAACCAACTAGCCCGCCAGAATATTTTGATTCGTTAACTCCCTTGATTGTCCACAACAGCCTCTGCTGCACTAAGCGGACGCTAAGCGGACAGCGCGCTCAAGTGTCTGGGACACGTATAACCTTCTCCACTTGTTTGGAGTTACGAATCTCGACCCTACAATTTACTTTAGGTGAAAATTTCACATAATGTTTACCTTCATGCAGGTGCACTCGTCCAAATCTGCGTGATGACAGCGTTGCATTTTTACTTTTTTTTTTGTTAGTCAAATGTTATTCGATATGCGGATTAAAAAATGTAATCACGGTAAATGATTAATCGATCAATCGGTAAGTTATTCGATTAGGTGCCCAACCCCACGAGTTGACATATAACAATTATAGAAGGAAATTACCCAAGCTGCAGCCTACTACACTGGTTACCCGGCTATCCTTCAATTATCGGGTTATAGATTTTTTTTCTTTAGTTTTGTCATGCAACCGATTCTGGTATAATTAAAGTGTGCTTACAAGTACACTTTAATTTTTAGTTAACTGCAGAATGACCGCATGCACGTATGGCATTTGAACATGCTTCATTCAGTTGAACAAATTCGCTCGCGAGTAAGCTTTTCTCCGATGAGTTTATCTCCGGTAAGCTTTTCTCCGGTGAGCTTATCTCAGCCAGAGGTGAACCCAGAACACCGTCTTTTTTTTTTTTTTTTTTTGGGGGGGGGGGGGCATTTTTTTTTGTGCGAGGGGGATCCACCCATGTAAAATTGCCCTCCAAGAGGGGGGAGGGAGGGGGGTCGACTTTGTTTGGGAGGGGGGAAGGGTGCGGCACCCCCCCCCCCCCCCCCCCCCCCCGCCCCCTTGGGATTCGCCACTGATCTCAGCTGAGCTTTTCTCCGCCGCCCATAAAAGTGTTTTCGATTCTCTCTCTCTCTCTCTATATATATATATATTTTTTTTTTTTTCCGGCAAAGGTCTGAATCCAAGAAATATAAAACGTATTGTAGATCGTGATTTAAACGTTCTCGATTTTTTTTTCTCCCCTCAGTTCGGGGAGGAAGATCTAGGTCAACGGACTTCACTTCTTACTTTCTACTAAGTAGTTTTCAAGTTCTAAAAAATGCTAAATTATATACTTTTTTTTTTTTTTTTTTACTTTTGGAACGTGTAGAGTCAATGGCATAAAACAGTTCGGGTGTAAATAAGGCACAACGTTGCACACGTGTCGTTGGTCAACGACTTTTGCTGCGTTTTGACACCCGACCCGCTTCCCCCTCCTCCATTTTCGCCCACCCTCGCCAGGCGCGAGTCATCCATCGATTCTGCGTACCGAGCCCTACACCCAGTGAAGGAAAGCCAGAAAGCCTCCCAACAAAATCTCTTTCAGAGCAAATAGAACTAAGATTAGGAACGACCTTTTCTCCTTGCCACGCACACACCCCCAACCGCGGAAACCGCGGAAGGCAACATCCCGCGCCCCCAACCAAAGACAAGCGAGGCCGCCACACCCACGACGTGACACGACAGTTCCACGTGCTCCGAGCGTGCAGCGCAACTACATCAGCTGAATCGCCCGAACCCGTAGGAGTGGTAGGAGTACTACGCCCGCGGTACGCCGCGAAAAGCGGTTCGAGCCGGATCGAGGCGGTTGTTGATGGGAGGACGTCCCGCTTGTCGCAGATCGAGACTCTGTGGGCATTTTTATTTGGTTCAACGCGGCTAGTTTTCACCCGGCGGCACTACAAACGCAAGGCGATCTTTTTTTTATCGCCTCTGCGTAATTTGCTCTTCGTCGCGGAACGCTCGCTGCGCTCGCTCGTTCACCTCCAGATACCATAGCAACAGTACGTCACGGGGATAGAGGGCCTTGATTGGGCGCCCGGCGGGAAAGTGGCAAGGACGGACCAATCGCGAGCGTCCTAGCGAGCCGCGGACCCTCCATTATAAGCTGATCTGCAATGTTTTTAGAGTTCGGAGCCGAGTTGGTCGTGGTCCGGAGTCGTGACCGATCCCGTGAAGATTGGCGGATTTAGGCTGCTGCTAGGCGCCCGCCGAAAGCTTACTGGAAGCGAAGCAAGTACACTAGTGCAAAATTTTCGAACCAGTGGAAGTCGCGATGGAGGTCGGTACAGCCGCTATCGAGAAAATTAGCAAAGAGGAAACTATTAGGCTCCGTGACATTTACATCGGGTAAGTTCCCTCTGCAATGCTCGTGCTATTTCTGTTCCTTGTTTTCTAGCCGTTCGTTTTTTTCTCTGCATGGAACCATGGTGGAAAAAGTTGGCACCCTGCTACTTCCGAACTCGGCGCAGTGATTGTTCGTAGTTCGCTCTAGCGCGCGTAATCGGCGATCCATCTCGATGGTCGACCTTGGCTGTGAAAAAGTTTCCATCACACCTCCTTTGGTGCCAGAACAGATTATGTACTGTTCGGCGATTTCAGCGGAATTTGTTGACAAGTATGCTTTGTCGTTTGTCTTGAGCAGCTCAATGTTTTACATCTTAGTCAATCCAGTGAAACCGTCAAGCGCTGGCTCAGTTAGCTTCCTCGTCTTCCCATTTGACTGACGTATCTTCACATGTGACACGCTTATTGAGATGCCCTCAGCAGTCTATCAACATCTTGCTCGTATTGACACTTGTGCTCTAAACAATGTGGACTACAATAAAATTTTCGCTTTTCGTTGTAGCGAAAGACGCAATCGTAGATAAGAAAAAAAAAAAAAGTTTGCGTCAGTGCTATTTCATGTAAATTGTCGAATTCTCTAAATAAATATGAATTTGCCAATCAGTGCGTACTCCTTTTGCCATCATTGGAGGTTGGACATCAGTAGGTCTGGCATTAAACCTATCTCTTATTCCAGAAAAAAAAAATATGCAGGTCATCCGCTGTGGTCCTTTGCTCACCGACTAGATGCATCAGGTCATTGAATTCTTCCCCGTTTTCTTATTGGCCTTTTCTAGCTGCATGACGCGGAGGACGCAAGGCCCACAAGCGAACCAATTTGTTGCAAAACCTGTTGTAGCTTTTCTCACCAGCGGCCACGAGTGACTTCGACAAAAGCCATACATAGATGGAACAATCACTGGAGTCCGCCAGCACGTCAGGAGACCCGTGTAGTACTTACTTCCTTGCATGGTTTGTGTTAGTCCCTTTGTTGTGGCTAACGATTCATAATGCGCAGCTGCCAGCTGTGGTTCTCGGCCGTAAAAACAGTCGCGGGAACACATTTGCGATGTCGAGCAAAGCTGCTTTTCCAAAGGTTCGATACGACCGACCTATTTGCAACATTCCTTTCCCTAGTTTGTTTTTGCATTGACATTTTGGAGACCAATATGTTTCCAGCTGAACCCGGTTCCTTTCGTGACGAACTCCTAGACAACTGGCTCTTGTCTTTTCAGACCTGAGGGTCTCTGTGAACAAAGCCCGGTGCCTTCTTCTTCTGTGTGCGTGTGTGTGCCTGTAGAAAGAGCGAGCCCCACTCTGCCATTTTTTTCCCCGCAATCCACTAACCATCTCACCTCTTTTAGTTTCCTTTTAGGCAACCGAGCCCTTACCACCGCCAACGCTGCCTCCTTTCTGCGTGCAACCTCCACCTCCACCCACCAAGACCTCAAGAGCAGCTCCTCGGGAGGGCATCGCCTTTTCCCAGGCTGTTTGCAGTGTTTCCCCACGGGAGGCGCAGACTCTCTTAGCGCGGGTGCGCCGAGAGAAACTGACGCCGTGCCTCGAATGAGGCAGAACGAGAGACTGGGTATGCCTCCCGTCGCACTGGACCCGTTGGCAGACGGACGAACAGTCTTAGGTTGTTGCTGTTAGAGCGGCATTGGCCTTGCCTCCATGTGGCTGGCACGTGTCCGGCTTTCCTCCACAGTGCGGGTGGTTCACGTCGCATCGTCCGGTGGTAAACGCTTGTTTCACGGCATAAGAGGGGAAGGTAAACAACTTTGATCTTTTCTCTTCTTTTTTCATTTTCGAGTGTGTGTGCACGAATGAACTGAGAGCGTATGGGACACGTGTCTGGTTGTGTGCGTGCAAGAGCTGTGCGTCGTGTTTCTGTCCAGTCCCTCCCTTTTAGCTTTTGCAGCCAGGTCGGCCAAGCGTTGCCGACGAGTCTGCGGAGCTTTTTTTCCTCCCGCCTCCCCCCTCCCCCCCCCCTTTTTCGTGCTTGTTTTTCCAGCGACATTTTTTTGTTTCGTCCTTCGTTTTCTTTCAGACATTGCCCTTCCCCTCTCATATGGCCGCAAGCGAGTTGTAGTCCCTGTCAGCTGCGAAACAGCTCTCGGAACGCGAGTTTCTCCGACTGTCGCTTGACCACTGAATGCCTTTTGCTTGAGCTTTCAACCGGAACTGTGGAGCTGTCTCCCAACAGGCAGTGACCTTTTGTGACAAGAGTCTTGAAGAATGAAGTGCAGAGATTGACCGCGCACCTTCCTGTGGGTTCGTTTCCGCAGGAAGTCGTGCACAGTGTTCTTCAAGTCCAACGGGCCCCTGAAGATAGTCCGCGGTCAAGGACAGTACATGTACGACGAGTGTGGCAACGAGTACCTGGACTGCATCAACAATGTCGCACATGGTGGGTACTCCAAACATTCTTTCCTCCTCATCTACAACCAGGCTCGAACAATACGTGGTAGGGGTCGCTTCACTGACACTCGACAACCCAGCCTTTCATGTACTGGCAGAAATAGATGGCCATCGCAGTTGAATATGAAACCATACTTTGTTGATCATGAATCGTTAGTATTCACCCACTCGGAAGTGGAGTTTTGCAAAAAACATGTATCTTGAGGACATCGAGGTTTAAGGCGGCTGAAACATGGGGTCCACTCCCTCTTCCCTCCGATTAGATGCTGAGGGTATCCGATATCTATAATTCTCCTGCCTTTAATGTGTTGCGTGACACCAGGTTGCCGGAAACTTAATTTTTTTGCTGGCTGAGCGTTGTAGCCTACTAGAAGAATAGGGAATGCAGGTCCAATTCCCAGATGGAGTCTTGCATGGTCTCGCCTTGAGGCCCATTGGCTCTCACTTCCCTTTTTTTTTGCATCCCAATTACCGGCCTTCCCTCCCGTCGCCCACTTGTCCCCCATTGCTCTGTTTCTCGGGCCCCGTCACTTGAGAAATAGTATTCGCTCGAAACGTCTGTGTCGTTCTGTTTGTTTGTTGTGGGCTTTCCGGGTAGCCTCTTCTAGCTTGGGTGGTGAGATGGAAGAGTGCAAACGTTACCGATGTGGTTAGGAAGTATTGTAGAAAAGATGGCAACAGGCGTTTGGAATTCCACACACACTGGTCGTTTGTATCTTGATCAGTGCCTCTTTTTTCACTGCTGCTGTGTTCAGTGCATTTGAAGGAATGTTGCTGCAACATTGCTCGCTGTGTTTTTAAGAGAAGCTGTGTTTTATGAAAGACAGTGAGCACGCAGTAGAAAACGATTCGACCGACGAATAGGTTAGAATGGTATGAAAAACAAATACAAAGCTGGTCGCCAGCTTTTTATTACTTCCACCCTATTTCTACAGTATACCCAGTCATGGCTCGCACCATGACTGGGTATACCGTAGATGTAGTCGTGTGCTGTTGTATTCGTGTATATCTTATGGTGGTCGCGTTTATTTTAAAGTTCCTCATGGATCATTGGCAGGTATATGCTAGCTTAAAAATGAGGAAAACTAAAGTCTCCTGTAATTTTGCCAAATAAGAAATTATAAATATTTTATCATGTAGTAGATTTACTCCAATACTGTCTTCAATTATGATCTTCTTGATCTTGTGCAGGGAGCTATTCATCCACAAAAATTGAAATAGGAATAACCAAACATGTTTATATTGGTTATTGGGAAAATCTTAGTTTCTAAGAACATCATATTCACTGCTGTGAACGACACAATGTCTTATGCAAAATCTATGCTAATTTAAAGGCATATTAAGAAAGGTTCCTTTTTAATGTTTTCTGACATCCCTTGTAAAGTAACGTTAAAGTAATGGCGTTACTTTAGCAAAGTAACTGTAGCAGGTTACTCTTCCAATTTTGTAACTGTAACTGTAGAAGGGTTACTTTTTTCCTTTGGGTAACTAACTGTAACACCGTGACATTTTAGCAATAACGTGCCCATGACTGCCGTAGGGTGCTGGAATGATTGGGCCCCAACTTCGTCGATCGTGGGTTTCTGGGCCGATTGTCAGCCTCCTCGTAAAACATGGGCAAACCATTCTTTGAGGCGTGTAGACATATTTTCTTTTTGTGAGCCTGCCTAATAATTCTGTAAGAAACTTTCGCTGCCTTTCTTCTCTGAGTGGACTGGTCTCCTTTTGTAAATCCTGTGGGCTTTCAAACTTGTTATCATTGGCGGGGGTTGCTGGATCAAAGATGACCGTTTCCCGTCCCCACTGCCTGCTCATCTCCTGCCATAGCTTACCCGATTTCTGCTGAGGTCCATGGGCGGGCGCGATTTCTAGGTGTGGGCTATCTTTCATTGCTTTTGCATATATAGAAAATCGTGCTAGATACCAAGGTCGACTATCTTTTGGGGGTGTGGCGATTCTCGGGATATTCATATTTTTATATATCTGGTATTTATAAGTGCATATTATCTGTTTTTTTATAAGTTTATAATGTCAATTTTATGCAAACCACTCTCTAGTTGTGTTCATGTGCAATGCTCGTTCCTGCACATGCACGGCACTCATACCCGGTGTGCTGACGTGGCAAAGGATCGAGTGCTTGTTTTTAGACAGCACGGTGGCCTACGTTAAACAAGTAGTTCATTACAAGAAGCCGTTTTTATGGGTTGTGTTGCATCTGGAAGCTCTAATCGTGTGCAGCTGTCGCTCGCGTAGCGGCCTTAGGGACGTTTTACGAGCGCAACATGGCATCTTTTTGCTCAGTGGGTCATTGCCATCCCCACGTGGTGAAGGCCGGAGCCGAGCAGATGTCTCAGCTGAGCACCAACAGCCGTTACCTGCACGACAACCTGGTGCTGTACGCCCAGCGGCTCACCAACTACTTCCCCAACAAGCTCTCGGTCTGCTATTTTGTCAACTCTGGGTGAGAAGGAGTTGCTAACCTTCGTTATGGCTAGAGTCCATTTTGGGGTAAGAAGAGCAGGATAAGTGCCTCCCACAAAGCCTTCCACTCTTTACACTTTATCAGAGCAAATGCTGGAGGGTTGTGGGCAGGAGGTTGGGCTCTGCTAAACTAAACAGAGAGCTGTGCGGGAGGGGATACTCCCACTTTTCTTAATCTGCAATGGACTATCGAGTCTCTAGAAAGATGCGCACGACGTGTCGGCACTCTTCCCCCACCCCACCATTTCCCCTCCCCCATTGTCCAATGCTGTCCTGCCAAGACGGTCGTTCGTCGGGTCTCGTGACATTTGTTTACGTGCCAATGGCTTTGCAATGCCTCCACTGGGGTGCTGGGATCCCCAAGGGCACCTTTTGCCAAGGTTTGGTTCCGACATGGATGGAAAACACCTGATGCATTTTTTGTCGGGCATGCCAGCAAAACCTGGGTCAACTGGCAGCATTGATTCTGTGCACCAATATAGCCAAACAGTCCTTCCTCTAAAGTATAGCATATTCTGCAACTTTAATTACGACTACATAAAAGCTTACAGACCTGTTGGCAAAGCTTATCAAGCTCTCTGGGAAATCCTGTCTTTGCTTATTTCATGAGTGTCTTCCGTTACCGTGAAATACTGGAGAAGTGCCCACCCTACTCTCACTGAAAACAGGATTAATCTAGACATGGGCGCTTGTCCGGTCAAATCGGAGCTCTTTATGCATGATTTGCAGAATTCACAAGTTTGGAACACATTAATAGTAGTTGAATGAAGTGTGCACTTCAGTGGCATTTTAGTTGGATCTTGCTTTAGCACCATTTTTTTTTTTTTTTTTTATGAAGCATACAAATTGCTCAACCACCGCGCTGACAAGTTGATCGCCGGCATAGTCTAAATTAAAATTTCCTTAAGAATTAGGCTATGCCAGAAGCTAAAAGTCGCAAAAAAACATCCCATAATAGTAGGATGAACGGCTACTGTGATAAGACAGAACCAGAGTTTTATACTTCCGATGAAATTGCTTTATCATCATGTCTGCCGCATGCCTCAGTGCTGCCTCTCGCCGCCTCTCACCAGCCTGTGTGCATCGAGCTTCGCTGCTTTGCACTGGGGTGCTAGGAGGAGTGGCTGACATGCTCGGTACTGTTACAGGTCTACCTTCTTTGATCTTGATTGTAGGTTTATCTCCAATTTTAAAACGCTGCGTCGTGAAAGAAAAAGACCCGGATCTCTGTTTGAATATATGCGGTAACCAAGGTTGTTCCCGTGCAGCTGTCGATAGTAAGAGCAGCAACCTTTCACTTCACCCTGGTTTCAACGCCACTAAAGGATGGTGTCACTTTTAAGGATATGCTGAAATTTGGAGCTCGCAAAACAGGGCTGGAGCGATAGGTGGGACGCTTCAGAACCCAAAAACATCACTCATGCAGCGGTATCTCTTAACGGATGACCATATTTTGGGAAAAGAAGCACGTGATTGAACACGGCCGACAAGACGTGCGACGTCGCAGTTCTTATTCTCTCTCCTCTTTGCTTCGTCCCCACAAGCAGGTGAACCAAACCAAGGAGGAGAGAAGCGAGGTTGCTTCCCCTCATTGTTAACTGTTCAAAGAGAATCATAACGCCACATTCCTTGCTTGATCATGCCCTTCTTTTCCAAAAATACGGCCATCCGTTTGCGATTTTGATCTGAATGATGTTTTAGAGTCCATTGCGTCCTGTTCAACGCTTCTGCGGCCTTATTTTGCGAAATCCAAATTTTGGTTCAGCATCTCTTTAAGCACAAGCGTAGGTTTTCATAATATTTGTGGGTGGTGGTTTTTGTAGTTTATGATATTAGTCATGAGTCTGGTTTGTTTATAAAAGTTGGGGTGTGCATTCTTATTGATAGACATGTTAGCGGCTATGCTGGTTTTTACAGCAATTATGTTTGCAGAATGAACTACCACCGGGTGTAAAAGTGTAAGGGTAGAGGGGCTTTACTTGAACTGAAAAGTTGCACTACGATTCATTTTCCAACAATTTTCTAGTACCCATTTTAAATGCAGCCTATTCTGACCAGAGTCTTATTTCTAAAAAGAAGGCTCTGTGTTCCTTTTGTGTCCAATCTACTCATCATAAAAAGCTAATAAGTGACACGCTCCAGTATAAAAGATGAGCCCTCAATTGTTATTAAATATGAACTCATTTAGCACTGCAATCACTTTTTCATGTTCAAGTGTTGTGCTAACATATATTGGCATCTGCTCCAAAAGTGTTATACAGTGAAACCTGTTTAGAACAAACCCATGTACAGTGAATTATTGTCAATATTGACCTCGAGGAAATTTTTATAGGAATATGTGTAGAAAGTACTTTTTATAACGAACATCATATTGGCTATATCAAACTTTTTCCCCCCGGAAAGGCTTCCACAAACGCGCAAACAATCGTCTTCTAGCCTGTTCCCTCTTCCCCCTAGAAAAAGTGGGAAAGAAAGAAAATTCTAAAAGCTCTAGCCACAAACAAACTTGACTAAGATAAGCGATTCAGAAGGGGAGAAAGCTAAGAAAACAAATTCTGTACGCATGCAGAAAAGAAAAGAAAATTACAGCGCGTTGTTACAAGGCGGAAGCGAAGAGATGAGAAAAAAAGAGAAGCTCTCGGTTTACAACGAACGCATCGTGGAATTCCATTATAAATGGGTTTTGCTATATTGAACTACTGGCTATATCGAACTGATTGTAGCGTTTCCTGCTGTTCGTTATAAACGGGTTTGACTGTAGTGGCTGCTCCAGACCAATATTTTGCCTGCTACAAAACCTGCTACACGAGGTGAAATGTCACTTCCATCACTGGACTACAATCTGCAGCCAGTCTACAGCTATTTCTGGTTTAGCAAGTAGTAGTCGCCACAGCGTAGCTGCATGTGCAGTGATTGTGTCTATGTTTGTAGCTCCTATCTCATGCTGTTCCCAATGCAGACTAGTGCTTGTACTGATTTTTTATGTACTTACATTGTTTTTTTATACTCTGTGCTTGCTTTCATGATTCAGATCCGAGGCCAATGACCTGGCCATGCGACTTGCACGGTGCTACACGAAGAACAAAGACATCATATGTTTGGACGGGTAGGTTTGTTTCTGAGCTACCTTGTAGAACACATTCCAGGGGTTTGAGGCTATTCTATTTTATCTCACAAGTAGGCCACATGAGCAATCTTGGGTTGTCATTCCTGTTTTTAATTTAAGCTGCTTACTTCAATATTTTACTCTGAACGGTTTGTAGCCGTCCTCTAAAAAGACTTTCAGCCTTTCTACTCTGGTGAAGAAGGTCAACCAGCGAAGCTGTACTATGGTGGGAATGAATTAATGGCCAGCCACAAGTCGGCAAGCCAGAGTAAAAAGGCTAGGTAGGTTGCTGCCATCTGTGAGCGACAGTGGCAACCAGACAACCGGCAAGCTGGTTTTCCGATTGCCGCTGTCGCTCATAGATGACGGCAGCTGAGTTTTGTGTCATCATTTGTTCGCTGGTGGACACAATACTGGGGAAACTAGCCCTTAACAGCTCTGCTGTAAAGTATGTTGCACTGTTGTCGAGGGGTGTGTAAGCTGAGACTACATTGTTAAATTCAACTGTGTGGCATGTCCACTAGTGCACACAAGCACAGTGGGCCACTACTTTAATCAAAGGTGCCTTTCAGTATGTTTGCTTTGCCTCTAGCAAGCATAGCCTACATGTGCGTGATACATCTCACGTGGCCAACAGGTGCAATGTCAGTTGTGACATGTGTATATATAGTGAATATATATATGTTTGCATGTACATGTACAGACAAAAATACTTCCCCTCCGACAGTGACATGGGCGTCTAAGTACGCCCCATAACAGTCGGTTCCCCAAAACCCCCCCCTTAAAATGCATAATGCTACTATTAGGCACATTCTTGGGTCATAATAAGAGTTCTGTTTTGTTGGAGATCATTTTTTGTGAAATTCAGAGGGTGATTTTTGAAGTTCTATTTTTTGCTGTACATTCAGTTCTTCGGTGTTTATTTCTGTTAAATTTACAATTCTTGGAAATTCAGAGGTTAATTTTGCTGTGTGTGTTGTTGTTCAAAAAGGAAAAAGATATTCAGAGATAAAAGTGCACTAAGTTCATAGGAACTCGCTTGTGTGAAAGGATATTTCTCCAGCTGGATTCGGCATTGGCACCTTTGCCATAGGCCTTACTAAATGTCCCGCGAAAACTGGAGTGGCCTCTACTCAGGATCAGTGACTGACCCTCTACCAAACCTATTCGGAGATTATCATTTAATTTTTTTTTGTGTTTTTTAAACATTGTGACCAAAATTTGGAGTACCTATACATCGGATAAATCTGAATTATTGTGGCTTCAAAATTTGCAGTAGGTCAGAAAAATCTGAATTAGCATAAATATGACCTGCGGATGTTTTTTAGATTTACCCTAAAAATGCAGCTCTAGTCATAATAAATCCTAAATATTTCATGAACTACTAGTTGCTCGAAGCATACCTTTAAGGGCAACTCCGCTCAATTCCGAATATTTCGAGATAATGAGCAATTTTGGATTAAAAAGCCTTAGTAAAAGACACTACCTCGTTTGCTTCGTGAAAAATGGGATATTTATTCTGAAATCTAATTTTAAACACGAGCACAAATCGAAACCGGAACTTCAGCTCCGTCTGGCAACATTGGCTTTGGGCCGCCAAGAACATGGCTATCACGTGGTACAAGATGTCATGTCCTCCTCTATGCAAGGACAAGCGGGATCGGGGCTGGCAAGTGCCAGGCGCGAGTGTCATCTGCACCGCACACTTCACCACGTTTTGGTGCTTACGACATTCGACGACGTCTGCACATTTGTGGCATAAGTCTGTGCGCATAGTGTCTGTAGTGGGTATGAAACTCACAGAGACAATGCAGTCGCAAGCAAAGAGACGACGATGGTGGTTATGACACGAGAGACGACGGTAACGACGGGACCACAGCGGGGCGGCCTGATGACTTCCACGAAGTGTGATGCACAGGCGCGCCAAGAGGAAACATTGCTTACGTCACTCATTACGCTTGCCTGGAGAAGTAAAAACCAACAAAAAGGGGGTGATGGTTATGACATTTCGCTCAATGTTAGCTATGCCCATGCTGCAGCCCTCACTGCGCTGGTTGTTGCGCCTCGATTCACCCGCTCGAGTCAGCCGATTGTGGCAACTTGGCGAGTTGCAAATTTCTCTGGACTGTTTAAGAAACATTTAGGCAGAACTACATCGCAATATTTGACGTGTGGTCTTCTAGGGTGATACTGAAGAGGGCAGCAGAGTTTTCTCAAAAACAAAAATGGTGTGGAGTTACTTTTTAAAGGGATACTTCAACAATATTTGAAATATTCCCGTCGTGTTCAAAAATAGGTTCGATATGATCCACAATATCCGTAAATGACAATCGCACATTTGTATTTTGAGCCTGGTGGCTGTATTTTTCGTTATAAACGGCCCACTTTGGCAAGCGCTCGGAGAAGGCCCAGCGGAGACCACGTGACATCCAACGCAATCGTGACGTAGGTCGTCTCAAGACGAGCTAAGCTACGGCGAGGCTGACGTCGAGAGGATGGCCTAGTCGTTCCAACCACCGAAGCGGCTGCTTTTGTACGAATTTTGAGTGACGGGTTAATCTTCTATAATCTTGTAGGGGGACAATAGCGACTTCTGCGACACACAAAAGGCATTCTCGGGACGAGGGGAGTTCCTCGTTCCCCTCTTCTCTCGTCGTGGCCGGAGGCGAGACAATTCTTCCGTCACCAGCTGTCAAGGTTCCTAGACGGGCATTACAAGCGAGGTGTTTGCGACATCCACTAGGTGCTCTTTGCTGAACGTTTAATTTCTTTTTAAAATTCCTTTTCGTTAATTTTTTAACAAGATATTGGTATGTTCGATGTGATGCTGCTCCTTTGAACACATATAGGCCAAAAAATGAGCGCCGAAATTTCGTTGTAGTATCCTTTTGAAGGGGAAGGACATCTGGTAAAAAATTTTCCCCATGTGCTAAATATCCGGCCCTGCTTATGTATACCAAATATCTAAAAAAAAAAATGTGCATTTTCTTGCGAGAAGATGAATTTTGAAGTTTAGACGTACACCTACGAATCGCTGACTTCCGCTCTACTGGCAACAACGAGCAGTGGTGGCGCTGGGATCATCGTAACGTCAAATGTATTCGAGAGCAGACTCTCCCTCCTTTGTGATGTTGCACGTTGAAACGGTTGTGGGCCTGTATGGTTTTACGGGTTGTGTCCGATTTGGGGTATTTACACTATGCAGTGGGGTGTGAAGGGATTCTGTCTTTTGCTGTGGGGTGCAATAACACCACAAATAAATATGGCAGCCCGATATCTCGTTGGTTTCCGACCGAGAAGTCTCTGCGACAAAAAATGGGTCCGGGCAGTCCGACGTTAACGCTGGCTCCCAGCGTTTGCATTGTGCTGGCTGACAGTTTGAACTGTGCTGGCAGACAAAACCTTCTGTACCACTCCACTTCTGAATTGGCATCAAAGTCCACATGTCCGTGTATTGCAAATGCAGCCGCCACGGGTGGTTCTCTCTGAGGCAATGGCGGCAGACCGAATGCAAACACCCAATCGTCCAAAATTTCGTGCTGAAAATCTTGAAACGTTGGCCGGTCATTGCTGGACTTGGAGGACAAGCTCGATAAACCATTGTTCATTGTTTCCCCCGGATGACCGTGGTGGCCTTCCGACTGCTTCTGCTGCTGGGTGAAATAGGCACAAGCTGCTCGTGAGCTGGTGTTTATACAACATCTAACATAACGACAGGATGGCGGACCAGTAAGGTTGCGTGTTAGTTTCGGTTTTAGTCTATTTCTACGATTAAAAATCATATAAAAAGATTTTGGGAAATTTATCTGCTGTTCTGGGCTCAATATCGTGTACTCCTTGAAAAAAAAAGTTTAGTTGAAATGATTCATATCGACGCCATTGAGAAACATTGTGGACAGTCAACCTTATATTGTGCAGATGAACATTGAGAGCAGAATTGTACCTGACCTTAACTGGCAGTTTGTACCAGGTAATCAGTTTTCCAGCAGATGAACACGATCAAATCCAGGTTATTGTTAGTCGTGCGCTAGCTTGATGTCGGTTGCCATTGTTTTCTGCGCAGTGCGTACCACGGTCACCTGCAATCCACGACGGCCATCAGTCCGTACAAGTTCGACCACATCGTGGGCTGGCAGAAAAAGAAGTCGGTGCACGTGGTACGTATACCTCTTTCCTCATGCATGTTGCCCGTCGGTAAGCAACACTGATTTTCTGCTTTGTCACAAAGGTTTTTGCTGAGAACTTGCTAATTTTTTGGTGCATCATTGCCCTAGTTGTATTTGCACCATAAAACCCCAATCTACTACTAAGAACTCGATCAAAACCACCATATACAGTTGAGCCTTTTCATAATGAACACTGATACAGCGAATTATCGGATATAGCGAACTAATCGTGAAGTTTGGTTGGTCATGCTTTATTTGGATGGGAGTTCTAGTTATACAACGAAACCAAAACCGTGCTATCGTTTATAGCAAAGCAATTACTGCTTTTCTTGCATCACAAAATACTACGAAGGTCATTAAAAATTAGACAAAATATCGAAAGTAATTTCTGAATGAAAAATTTTGAAAGTTTAGATCGTCCGATGTTCAAAAATGCGTATTTCGGGAGGTAGTGCCATCTATGAACCGAGCAAATAGCGGCGGTTGCGTTGCTGCTGGCCTCTATGTGAGGCATCAAGAACCAGTGTAGAGTAAAGCCGACCGCCAACCAGACTACTCATAGCGGCGCTGCAAATGGCGACGAAGCGAAAAACTGTCTCTCTGGAAACAAAAGTGAAGGTTTTGAGGGCGGTGGGCAGCGGTCGGAAACAAAAAGACATCATTGGGACTTCCAGCTTGCACCAATCACGATATCACAAAACGCAACACCGTCAACACTGACCGAGTCTTAGGCCTTGCCTTGACCGGAATGTGGAAGAGGCTCTGTTCTCATGGTTTAAGGACGTAACGGCGCGAAATTTGCCGGTGTCCGGTCAGCTTTTTAAAACAAAAGCAATCATTCAGGCACGTCTGTCAGGGCATGAGGATTTCAGTGCGAGCAGCGGTTGGCTCCAGCGCGGTGGCTGCAGGTGAAGAGGCACCAGCCCATAATCACGTCTTCAAATAAATGAAATAATAGATCTAGCTACTGTCGTTTCTCGTGTTAAAAATTGCTATCCTCATACTCCAATCTATTTTTTTAATGCTGCTTAGTGACAGGCAAGGATCTCGTGGTCCGCAATAGTGCGTTTTTATATCTTAGTGCTGTGCACATTCTTGCACGGGCTCGATTGCGGGCACGTTCGCGTCAATTTTTGTGTGTACTTTTATAGTGAATATCGCATATAGTGAACAAATTCCTGCTTCCGATGCTAGTTCGTTTTACCGAGGTTAGACTGGTATATATGGCAAGTGCTTTTTATCTGCATAACGGGGAAGAAAGGTCGACACTGTTATCAACGAAGCTAGCCTACCTTCCCGCTGAGCGTACAGAAAACAAATCGTAGCTTTCTATGGAAGGAGAGCAATGAGCAACGAGGCACTGATGAGGTTGGGTCTTAGAAATGTGATATGGGCTGCCATTCTCATGAATGTTGTGATCAGTCTCCTATTGCAGGGCTATGTATCTTAGTCCAAACATTATTACTGCCTAGTCATGGCTGGATCCCATAAATTGACGAGCGCTATTGTCTCGTGCGTGTACTGTGGAAAAGTGAACACAAGCGCTTCATTCACGAAGAACAAGCCTATTTTTGTACGCACACCCCCATACTGAATGCAAGCTCTTTTTTCTGTTAGCACCCTCTTTTCTCTGCTCTTTGTAACTGAGCTTCCGGTTGAGGTCAAAAAGGACTACCAGGCCCGTTTGCTCGAAAGACGGGTAATCAAGGTCAGAAGTTAACTGCAGGCCCTCGGTGGGTGACTTTTAGGTCGCGTGACTGGTAGAGGAGGAATGCTGAGGAATGGGTTCTTATGGGCATTTCGTTTAACAAACTGGCCAGGGTCGGCAGTTGAATGCTTGGAAACAATAGATAATTCAATGTGTGCAATCGTCTACAATGCCAACTTGTGTTGCTCTCACGCCAAGAAAATAACAGCTTGCAGAAACTTTGATTGAAGTTTCTTAGGTCAGTGGCTGGGGGTCGGCTGACGCGTTCAGCTCTATGGGTGTTGACGTAGAAATGCAGACATACTGTACACATGTGGAAAGGCGCGTGTAATGTTCTGGAAGTTCAGGACTCGTTTCAATGAATATTGAAGTTGCCGGAGCCTCTCCCACTCTTTCTGCACTTACGGAACATTGACTGCAGTATGCCGACAATGAGACGTGGTGTCCTGTTAGTTCACCAAACTGGAAATGCTGCAGTTCTTCGTGGGGTTAAATTGGCCGCACAGTGCAGGTTCCCACTATAACAACTGTAGCGTGCATAAGCAGTCTCGTCAGTCGCAGTGTTTTGTTGCAATTGTCGTGCACACGTGGTTTAAGTGCAGTTGTCAGCTTGCAAGGCAGTCAGCCGGCAAGCTGGTCAGGTTGTTTGGGAAATCAGGCAGTTTAAATTGGCTCACAACGGAAAGAGGGTTTCTAGAAAGAAATGAAAGACGTTTACAATTCTCCATAATGCCGAATTAGAGTGCAGCACTTGAGAAGGAGGAGGGAAGGGTATGCTACTCCTCCTCTCCTCCTTCCCTCCCATTTAATGTGAAATTTTAGCTAGATTTCCCGCTGAATGTAGCGAAAGAAATTTCCAGCTAAATTCAGTGGGGAAATTTTCCGATATATTTAGCGGGCAAATTTTTCTGCTACATTTAGTGGGGAAATTTACCCATAATGCAATGTCCGGTTACGCCGCCGTCGCTCAAGCTGGAAACAGGCACCCAAGAGCTGTGCTCTAAAATGGTGCAGTCTGCAGGCAACAAAACGTGAAGCGGCTTTGTATAGAGACTTAAATATTTTGTAAATCTGTTTGTGGCATGCAATATTTCCACTCCGGTAAATATCTTTATAATCGCTAGGTGGCACAAGTTACTGCCCAGTAATGGAGCATGAGACTTTCATACCTCAAACCAATTGTTCCCTGTTATTCTAGGTCCTTTTAACTACGTAGGACTGCAGTCAACCTTAAACCCATCAAAGATAACCATGCTTTAAACAAATGGGCCCAGGTTGTCTGATTTGATCTCGGTCCTCTGCTGGAGTGTAGCAGATACCCCTTGCTGGTTTGACGTACAATTATGTAAATTTAATTTTTTATTTTAACGTGCCAAGTAAGTGTTCCAGAATGTGTCTTTGGCACATTCAAATGCAGAGAGGGGAATCCCAATTGAAGAGAAATAACGAACATGCGGGGAACAAAAGCATGTGGATGCATTTGGCGGCCAAGCAAACCCACCAGGTGTGCAAGCGGCAAACTTGTAATTCGTATACCCCCATACAAATGGCTGCAACCCAAAGAAACCGCTGCCTGCCGCACGGTTGACGGTGGTATTTCAGTGTCGTCTCCCTGTTTCAGGCTCCCCTGCCGTGCACATACCGGGGCAAGTACCGAGCCTCTGACCACCCGGGTGAAGACCTGGGGCTCAAGTATGCCAAGGAGGTGCTCAACATTATCAACCAGGCCCACTCGGATGGACGCCGCATCGCCGCCTTCATCTGCGAATCGCTCGTGAGCTGCGGCGGCCAGCTGCCCCTGCCCGACAACTACCTGAGGAACGCCTACAAGTAGGCCTACTTTACATTTATTTCGCACTAAGTCAACCTGTGGTTTCTAGGGTAATTGTGTTGTGTGTACATCTAGATGGCGGGAAGGGAGTCTGACCTAATGGGTGTCGGATACCCCAGCTGTTGACGAGATTCCGCCAGTGCAGTATCGCTGCTAGCTGGGGGACTTTAAAGGGTAACTGCAAAGAAAAAAAAGTTTTTTTTTAAACAGCCTAATTGGGACAAGCATGTCACAAAACAAATGTTCCGCGCAAAAAATGATTTTTTTTATCAATATTTACGCCACAGGACGTAATTTAGTAGAGTCAGAACCTCTCCACATTTGAAACTCCCGCTCTTTCGACCTCCGCGGAAGAGCAGTACGCCCCGCCCCTCTCTCTCCTTGCGTTGCGGAGTTGAACGACGCAGCGTCTCGACTTCCGGCAAGATCTGGCAACTACGCCAGGCCGCGGTATAGTTTTGGTTTGACGCGGTTTGCGAGCACATGTAGCGAAGACGTGACCGGAGAAGTCCCCCTGTGATGTTCCCGGAAGACGGAAAGTATCGTTCGTAATCGTCGTGCGCGCTTTGAAAGCGAAGGGAGTCACAGAATCCACGAGTGCGCAACCACAAGCCAAGGTTCACGACAGCGCTGCGTTGGTTTCGGCGATCTCGTTCTGTTTGGTGCAACACGGCGATGCGACAGAGCTGAAACGTTCGTGGTGTGTGTAATGCGGTGCTAACACGGAGCGCAAATTGGTTGTTGTGGGGTTGACGTTCAACCAGTTAACCAGTTAAGTCCCGTCGTCGTCAGCTGATCCAGTCAAACTGGTCCGGGAGGACGCTGGGAGCGTTTTTAAAAGTAAATCTGCCTCGTTCTGTTAGAAATGTGGAAGTTTCCCGACGCATACCGTGAGTAAAAAGCTGCGGGCGTTTTCAAGAAAATTACGTCGTTTTAATTGAACAATGGACTCCGAATTGTTGTCCTAAATCTGCTGTTTTTATGCTTCGTGTTGGACTGCGTTTGCACAGCGATGTGTTGCATCGTACGGTGTGAATAAATTTGGGCACGATTTCGTACCTGCCTACAAATGCATGAACTGAGACCATTTTTACGTAGTGGACATAGTGCTTCTTTATTTTCTGTCTAGTCGCGGACGTTAGGTGCACACGGGGCGAATTTCGGCGGCCTCCAGAGCGATATGACGAGAACGTAACTAGACACGTTGGTCGCTACGCGAACGCCCGATCGCCTCCAGCCAAATAGCATTCCTTTCGGGGCGACATGGCTGCTGGAAGGCTCACTGTCGGACGCATCTGACATCTCCGAAAAGTCAGCATTTGCACGCGCAAACAAGCAAAAAAAAAAAAAAAGGCACGCTAAGCAAGCAAAGAGGAAAACGAAAGAACCGCGCTATGAAAGCCAAAACTGCGCGTCGCTTCCTATCACTAACACCTGCGACAGCTGCTAAACAGACACTACTTCACTTCAAGAAGTCTCACTCAAGCACCTGGGTCAGCACGAAACGAAGAAACACTGATCACTTCGGCGAAACGATTAGTCGAGGTAGGCGAGACAGGCGGGAGCAGACTTCGGCGGCCATGAAAGAATGGCGAAGCTTTTGTTTGTATGAATCCAAACGGAAGTGCCCGTCTTGTAAACCTTTTGTAAAGAATAAAAACTCTCATCACATGGGTTATTCTTTAAACGTAAAAATATGCTGCTCAAAAGGAAATTGCAACATATAACAAAGGTTTAACAACCAAGATCTAAGCTTTCAATCAAACTCTTAGCCAATGAGAACCTTTTGGGATTGACGTCACATAATCACAACTTCGTGGCGCGCGATTTAAAACGGACGAAATAGCCGCAAACTAAAATGAGTCTCACGCAATAAATATTGCTGTAAAAAATGTTTTTTCTCGCGGAATTTTGACATGCTTGTCCCAATTAGGCTATTTAAAAAAAAACTTTTTTTTCTTTGCAGTTACCCTTTAAGGGGGGACATAGGCCTAAACTTAAAACTTGTTTTAAAATTTCATTTTTTAAATTTGAGGTTTTCGGTTCCAGAAACTAATTATACACCCTTACATTAAATTTGATAACCATATGCCAAATAGTTACGTTAATATAAAATATTTTCAACACATTGTGAGGCAGTAACAAAGTAAAGGAGTTCAATGTTTGAATGCACTTTTCTCAGTTCCACTTTTTGCTGCAAATTTCATGGAAAGGAATCTTTTGTTCGAAGGTAAAAGTATTCTGATACCTCAATCAAGATGTTCCTGAACTGAAATTTACTGGGGAATTGGGCTATCTACTTCATTTTGTTTTAAGTGTAAGTCCTCATTGAGAAAAAACTAGTGTTTCGAAATCTGACATAGGACAGATATGCATCTTTTATTTTGAGGTAATAACTCGTCCTGAAATATTTACATTTGAGTTATAAAAAAATAGATAACCCAAAGTCCTATATCCCCAACTTTGTATTCAAGCAGTCAAAACGGTACATAATAGCTTCATTTGCATATCATTGACTTTTTAACGAAGAGTGACACATCTTCTTATGCAGGTATGCAAAATTGCCCTAGAGAGCTGAAAGTTTGCACAATACACATACGTCTGATGTTAAATCTCACCTGCAAATTTCATTTCTATCACTTGAGTAGTTCAGAAGTTAAGTTTCTAGCCAGTGTCCCTCTTAAGTATTAACTGCATATAAGCAATTTGGTGAGTGACAAAACAAACGACGGCAACCCGCTTCGCTCTCCCTCGCTCGGTCAGTCACGCGACGAGGCAAACCGCATGAAAGTGACGAGGGCAAGTGTCTGAGGAGATGAGCGACGTTTTCTTAAAATCCAAAAACTGACTGATGTGACGAGCGGCAGTCAGAAATTTCCGTCGCTCGTCGCTGACTCTCGTCGCTTGCGCTGTCGCTCATCTCGTTGCTCGCAAAGTTGCTTACATGCAGTTCAGCCTTTAACGTGCATCATGCAGCTGTGATACATGACCACACGCCGGTACAGTGCTCGTCCGGATTGAAACGGGCAGGGGTGGGGATTGAACCCTGGGTTCTGCGGCGTTAGCTTTTGCCCCACGTGCTCGGAGCTGTGATGCATAAACCCCACCCCCTTTCCCCCTCTAAGGTCAATGACAGCTTAAAAAAGCACTGAAAAAAAAAAAAACAATTTTTTTTTTTTTTTTTTAATCTAGAAAAATTACAAATATTAAGCAACAAAAAAATGTTCTTCAATACAGTACTTTTTTTGTAAATTTATTTACAGCGCTAGACTTGTTTTTAGTTCACAGCTTTCAGATGCGTGCGCCGAAAATGTGTACATAATGTTGCCACATGTACACGCCAAGTGCAGCGTTCTCATTGGGTACCTCTCCTCTCCTTACCTTTCTTCAGCGTGCCTTACCTCTCCTTTCCTCTTTTCTCTCTTGCACGTGATTTCGCAATGCGGAGGAGAGGTAAGAAGAGGACGAAAACGCTGCTTTTGGCTTGCCTTGGCGTCTTCTGGCATGGACATTTGGAAGCACAAACTAAACAAATCTAACGCTGCAAATACTTTGACAAAAAAAAAAACTTTTTTTGGTGAAGATTTTTTTAATATTTGATTTTTCCAGGCTGTTTAAACCTTTTTTTTTTTCCTTTTCAGTATCATTTTTAAGGCTCGACCTCTAGTACGAGCTTTATACCTTCTATAATACTGTGGCGTCTAGTGATTCTGCACAGCCAAAACGTGACTCAAGATAACGAGCGCATGCTGGGGGCAGAGCTTAAACTGCATTCTAAATCTGTTGCCTACCCTAGAGTCACCTGAAGGCTCTGTTTGGAGAATCTGCACATTCTCCCTTCATTGTTTGACGCGGCCCAGGATGATAATTCTTTGCTCGCTCCGCATGGCCACTTGCTCGTGGTTGCAGTGACAGAATTACTTTTACCATACGATTTCTGTTATTTAAAAAGGGGATCAAAATGAATGTAGTAGTGCTTTGAACTGGTTGCTTCGACCTTGACAGCACCTTAGTTTGGTCGAATTATCCGAAGATCAAATGACAAAAACATGCGTCAATAGCTCGAGTAGGAACTTGCTTTTATTGTCCACAGTAGTCTTCAATCGTTAGTGCACGAGCATTACTCAGGACTTGTGTCCGGCAGACAAACTTTGCGATTGCCGTGTCGGGAAGCATTGAAGTCCATTCCGCGAAATGAAGTTTGTTCCCCGTTGCTGGATGTTGTTTGACAACGGCCCAACTTGGTACTCAATGTCTTGCAGGTATGTGAGGGAAGCCGGAGGGGTGTGCATTGCCGACGAAGTCCAGACTGGGTTTGGCAGGATAGGCAAGCACATGTGGGGTTTCCAGCTCCAAGGAGAAGGTGAGGAGTCCCTTTTGTTCACTGCGGAGACTCGTTCACTTTGCTTAATTTTTTTTTGGGACGTGGCAACTGCTTTTTTATTGCATATAGGTAGACAACGTTGTCTTTGTTGCGTTAATGCCTCGGCTGACCCTCGAGAAATAAGCGTTTCTAAACAGCGCAAGCAAGGGGGACAGATACGCAGCATTGACTCGCAATTGTTTTCTTTTACTTCAGTTCTACAAGAGTTGAGAGTCAGCACTGTGAACGTGTCCCTTTTCCTCTCCTCGTCCCTCCGTGTTTTGCGCTGCTTTTATACTATCGCTTGTACAATGTACTGGCGTGCCCAAACCTAAATGTTGCTGCAGAACCCTCAAGAAAATGAGGAGTTCCTGGCAAGAACTTTGGCTTTGAAAATGGCTGCCTTCCAGAAAAATTTTTTTTGGAAGGCAGCCAACTTTTTGGGCACAAATGGGGAATAGCATTGTACCTGCAATTCTGAGCACCCCTTCTATTTTTATAATGTAACATTTCTAGGCTGCACACAAATCGAGGACAGTAAAACCTCCCTTGTACAGTGCGGAGCAAAAGCTTGGTTAACATAGAAGTGCCGACCAAATAGCATTACCGCGCTCCCCAATGTTGCGGTGCCCGCTACTGAGATCCGGGCAGTGTGCATGTGCATCCTTTCTTATCTGTCGGCCTGCTTGTTTCCTCACTTCAATACGATGTGCTTCTGACCGAATAAAACAGCGATTCAGCAGCCGTGATTCATGAGCTTTACTCTTGATGTGTGGCCGTGCTCACCTGCTCTGCGGCCTAGGCCATTCTTGCGACTTGGCGGCACAATGAGGGGGGAAGCTGGCATTGAACCTAAATTTTTCTATTTTTAGAGTTCTCTCTATGAAATTTGCAAGGTACATTCATAGCACATGCATACGAGTAACTGCTAAGTTTCGTAAAGCTGTGCCTATGGGCTCTTAACACTTTTTGAGCGCAACGTAAGTGCGCTCCTCGTGGAAAAAAAAGAACAAGACTGGTCACGGCCAAAGGGCTCAACGAGTCATGCAGGTCGCATCAGGAGACAGCCTCCGGATGTAAAAACCGGGAAGACTAACACAACGAATATGCAATATGTACGAATTGTGTACCCGCCCGGTGGAGATGCCCCCCTCCGGGCGCGTATAAGCAAACCATATCCCGTACAGCACCTGACCACGCCCCCTTGTCACGTGACATGACGTCACTTCCGCTAAGGCAATTTGTCATGTCACGTGACCTGACGTCACTTCCGCTACAAACCGAAACCAGTTGTTTTATTGGTTAGCGAATTGTCACGTGACATGACGTCACTCGCACCGCTGTGGCAAGGTAAATATGGCGCCCGCCGCCGCCTGAAGCACGAATCGTACGCGGTCGATCATCGGTGCAGTCGCGGCTGAAGCCAGAAACGCTTGAGACGGGAAGCCTACGTGATCGACGCAGTCGCGGCTGAGACGCTGTGTACGCGGTGACGCGAGGGACTCAACACTTGGTGACGCAACTACGCGACGCCCGCAGTATGCGACGTCTCGCATCGTGCTTCTGCACAGGAGTGCGTAAAAGGCGCAAGTACTTCTCTTAGCGTTCTCAACTCGTCGCTTGATAAGGGCGAAGCAAGGTTACTACCAACGCCTACCGCTGGTTTCCGAAGTCGAGCCTTCGGTTTCCAACGTCGGGTCTCGATGTCGCCGCTATTCTTGCCGCGCAGGTTCGTCGCCGACGCGGCGGATGTGAACCATGTCATGCATGAACGCTTGCCTTTTTCGACACGAAAATATGCTCTGTCGTCACGAACGCTTACGCCGACCCACAAGCTGAATTTGAAGTATTGCCAGCATTTTTATTTCGCCTGTACGTTGTCATCGCATCACCGTTACTCGCGGCGACGCAGATCTTCGTGCTTGCCTTCTAGCGGTGCCGCGGCTCTCCCGACCCAAAAAAGAAAAAGCTGCTCTACGCTCGAACCGCAAATTGGGGAAGTGGTAAAGAAATTAGCTTAGTACCGTCAGAAACACTCGTATGACGATAGGCATGCCCAGTGGAACTATGAAGAGAAAAAACAAGAGTGCATACTTTGAACTCGAAAAGTTTTTATTTCACCACATTAAATATATTGTTGCAATGCAGTGCTGGTTTCAAAGAATGCTATTTCCTCAGTCCCTTGCAAAATGGCAAGTTCACACTGAAAGGTAACAGTTTACGTGTACAAAAAGAAGTTCCCAAATGGTAATAATAGTTTCTCTCGAGACCTAGGGTAAAGCAAACGGGCATGTCGCCTCAAACGTATAAGGCACATGAAAGCTGTAACTTTGGAAGCTACTACAGCTTATTCATGTAAAAGCAGCTTCACACACTTGCAACAGCTTATGACCAGTGGCTGACCAGTCAGTCACAAGAGGCTTAAATCGGTTTGAAGTCATTCCCTTCGTAAGCAGTTTGCAGGTGAGTGAAACAGCCTTAAAGTGTGACACCTTTCGCTGTAAACACCAATTGTAAACAATGAATAAACCTCTTCTGTTCTTACTTAATTTGCACCATGTCGGAATTTTACATCACACTTGTGTGCCTGTGAAATTGTGTGTGCATGTGACAAAATGTGAAATTGAGCCCGAAACTGACACGGCTGCAAAATAATTAGTTTTAAGAACTCGTGTCGGATTCAAAATTGCACCCAAAAATCCTGGACACGGAGCAGACGTTTGATTGTATCTGTTCGGATGAGCAGCCGTGTTTTTCCTTTCATTAATCCAGACAGTTCGAATGGATGTAACCTCTGCTTTTGTACATAACATGTGTATATGAGCATAAACAACAGGGGAGGCACCCAGCATTAGCATCAGAAGAATGAAAACAGGTTAGAGAGCAGCTGGACTTAATTCTACTTGTTGGCTGATGAGTTCGTGGACGACATGAAGCGTGGAGTCTTCTGCCGCGCATGTCAACCCTCTGTGTACGCCCCTCTTTCAACGTCTTTTTTTTGACTCCGCTTTTGAGGAGACTTGGGGCTAAGGACGTTGGCAACAAGTCACCGGTTCACACTCGACAAGTGCTTCCGGGGAGTCTGTGCCCAACTACATTGCTGTGCTGCGTCGTGTCGCTCAGCACTGCGAGTAGACATAGTTTTCGTACAAGTTTTGTGACCGGTTAGTTTGTTGGGTGTGTGAAGAAGCGATTTAGCGACACCTTCTCGCCACACCAGATCTCGCTTTCGCTAGGGCTGAACAACTTGCGATTGCTGCGGAGTGTGCGACAAACGGAAAACCCCACATTTCCGGGCTCCAGAGACGGCAGAGGTTCGCCACATGGACAAACACCACCTACACAAGGCATGAAACGGTTCATCAATGCCAAGCCACAGCCCTGGCGCAGGGAAGACATCTTTGAGTACAGCTAGAAAATGTTGCGCACAATGCAAGTAGCTATAATTTTAAACACGCCATTTCTGTGGTGGAAAGGGACTCACCATACATGCGTGCCGTCAGTAGTTGGCCAAATCCAAGCACCACGCTCCGGTAGTGGAATCCAATCATCATCTGGGATCTTTGAACCAAGGTAGAAATCGTCGAAGTTCAAGTAAATGAAATTTTTATCTGCATAGATGGTGAGGCTTGGTCAACAATTGTTCTAAAGAGATAGTGTCGGCTTGGAACGGCAGCAGAGACTTAAACCTAAACTGCTCTCCGAACGTATCCACAATGTAAGTTGGTGGTTCTGGGAAGTGTCAATTTTTCCACGCGGTTCAAGGGAAAGGAGCGTGAGCCACCATTGCTGACCGTGAAAAGACGTGGAGCAAGCCTGCTTGAAGGAAACCGGTTTGAAATATTCGATAAGCTACGTGATGCGTGGGCAACAGACCTTTCTGGAAATATGTGATGCCCCCAGCGTCTACTTTATGCACTGCGACGTCCAGATGTATGGTACGGGTAATTGTCCAAAAAGCGAAGACGTGGCAGAGGGAGAGCAAAACAGAGGGTGTGATGACCACTTTTTTTACCACTCACTCAATTTTTAGCATGTTCTGAGCTCCTAATGATGAGAAAGAGAATCGTGCTACTACTACGATATACAAAGCATTCGAGCCGGCACGAGCATACATCCGAAGAGCCCCACAATTCCTCCCTTTGCAAGGTCTTTTGCGGAAAGGTCTATTGCGCATTCAGAAGGGGAGAGAGAGAGAGGGGGGGGTCCAAGAAGATGACAAATTGAAACACTCTTTGTCGAGGCTTGAGAAAGGACGGTCTTGTTCTTGTCTACCGCCTAACACAACACAAAGCACTACTATTTAAGGTGTCCTTCAATTAGCCGAGCCACTCCCACAGACTCAAGGACTGCCAAAAGAATTTCCAAGGGTCTTCGAGTAAGGACTTGGCGGACCCAGATACATTCACACTAAATCTAAACTTCAAACCCAAGTACCACAAGCCTCGACTTGTTCCTTTGGCCCATGAGTCAAAGGAGTAGTACACCATCACGCAACTCGTGCAACAAGGAATTTTGCCTTGGTGCGGAAATCTGCATGGGCTACGCCAGTTGTACCTGTGGGGAAGTCAAACGGCGTGATATGGCTATGTGTATGTTATAAACGCATCATTAATCCAGTCTTGAAACAGAAGTCGTACCCACTGCCAACAGCACAGCAAATGTTGACTCAACTAGTAGCATAGTCCTTTATTACGCTTTTGGTCACAAAACTTCTCTGCAACGCTATAGAAGGGCTTGGTATGCGACTACGTGTGACACTGGGGTTGACAAGGAGCCTGAAAGATGCAAATCTAGCCAGCACCACTGGGAACTGGGCATCCAGGACGTGCTATTGTAGTTCCGAACCCACTCTGAATGAGCCACCTTTAGATCACAGTGATGCATCAATGCTCTGATAGTACCGTCCTTTTAACCAAAATTCATCAATGAAACGCATTTAACCCCAGTTTGCGTTCAATTAACGACGAGGAAGTTTCTGGACCCCTGAGGATGGACGG